TGACTTAAACGACAGCATATGATTTTTTTAACTCAGAGTAAAAGTGCAAAACATCACAATCACAGTTGTTGCAGCAGGGTGTGTGACAGGGAATTTTTTTTTCTTGGAGGCATTTAATCGAACAACTTATATGCTGTAAAATATGTGTAAAAGTTTAAAACATGACAATCACAGTTGTTGCAGCAGGGTGTGTGATAGGGATTTTTTTTTTCTTTGAGGCATTTAATCAAACAGCTTATATGCTGTAAAACATGTGTAAATAATTAGTATATAAATTTGTATACAAATCGACCATATCATGGAAAGGAGAAGAGGGAAACATGAAATGTTCAATTAAAAAATATAATAAATTCATTTTGGTGATTCTGTAAAGTAATTGTATCGATCATTACATATGCTAACCTGATGTAGTAGATATTGTTGATAATGGAGTTTGATGATGACTGTGGTGATGTCGTAAATATTTAATCTCTCAATAAAAGGTGACATATGAATAAGATTGTAGCTGTATATATCTTCAAAATTGAATTTGGAAAGGATATGAAGAATAGTTGGGAATGAATTGATTTGATAAGTTTTTGCAAATAAGAGTCAATATGAGTGGTGATTACTGAGAATTATGAATGTAATGTAGGAAGATATATTAGGAGTAAATGTATTCATTGACAAAAATCAGAAGGATATTGTTGTTTCCTTTATTTGTATAATGCAGTAAATTTTTGACAATTTTTAATTTGAAAAAAAAAAACCAAAAAATCCATAATTTGCCAAGTGGAACAAAATTTAATTGAAAAAAGTATAAAAATGCCATGTGTCATATTGAATGAGGAGTTGACATGTGGCAGAAAACCTTCATTATTAAGGGAGATGTGATTTCATGTGTTAGGGACGTAACATTTATTAATTTATTAAACTTTAGTTTGTTAACTCAAAAATACATGCATAGACGATGTATATTTATGAAAATTTAACCAACCACATGTAATTGATCGTGCCACACGTGGATACCTGAATATATATACATATATGTAGTCGTTCATGAAATTATTGAGCGTTTGGCTGTTGTATCTTATAATAATTAAAATAACTCATTTATTTTACATTAGATTCACTAAAACTCAATGAATAAAATACCAAGAGATTTACTGTAACTTGACCGCTCATAGTCTTTGACCTAAATTCCAGGATGTCACATTATCTCCCCGTTAAGGGAATTTCATCTCGAAATTATTTTTTTCTAGAATATTTTGTTAGACTATCGTTTTGCTCTACTAGTATTTCATTCCAATAGTGGAGGGAGCATCACTGAAAAATTGCGGATACTTTTGGTTCATTTGATCTTCACGTTTCCCAGTAAACTCCGGCTTTGTACAAGAGTTCTGTTGGATGTTTCCTATAGTTATGTGGATTCGTTTGAGGCTTTTGAATTCTCGATCCTTGATATCTATTGATTCCTTCACGAAGTGGAGTTTAGTGCTGACCTAGATCTGATTGAGATGAAAGACAAAGTTCTCATTAGAGAGACACCCTTTTAAGACTTCAAATGCAGAAGGTATCGTGAACTTAATTAACTTGTTGAGGTAAATTGAGTTTGTAATCCATCAGATCAATCCGTAATAGGATTTCAAAGGTCCAATATAACGGTGGTTTTCTTACATCGTTTTCATTATCTAATGACACATTTCCATACTACGACCTTTAGTAGGATACGATCTCTTACTTTCAATTCTAAGGGTCTATGTTATGATGTTAGCATTGCTCTTCTGAAGACTATATGCGGTCTTATAATTGATCTTTTTCCTGAACGATCTCCTATGTTGTTTCATGAATAATCTAAGGGTTAGTGAGTGGAGTATCTATAGCCTACTTTTTAGCTAGTTGGGTGTCTCCAACTTCTATTCAGAAAATCGGAGAACAGAACCTACGTCCGTATAATGCCTCAAATGGAGCGGCCTTTATGCTAGTGTGATAACTATTGTTATATGAAAACTCAACTCGCAGCAAGTGAGCATCCCATTAATTACCGAAGTCTATCATACTAGGACGGAGCATGTCTTCTGAAGTTTGTATCTTTCTTTTGCTCTTTGGGTTTAGGAAAACTAGGAAAATTTGAACGTTATTCCAAAATTTTAAGTGTATTTTAAAATGTATACGTTGTTCAGGGGTTGATCTAAGGTTTCTAAAGTACTAGGTTTCTGCGGCAAATCTTGAAAATATCCTTCAATCTCTAAAAATTTCAACCATTGTAGTCTATCAAACTCCTTGCTCAAGGTTTGTTATTTACCGGCCCGACCTTAAATAGCAGAGGTGTATGTTCCAGGTTTATTTATGGTGTGGCTTATGAACGGTACTAACCTTAATTGAGGCGTTTCACCTAAAGGGTTGAGTTGGTAGTTTTAGTTGGAGGCATGTTAGAGTTTTAGTATGTATTCTCATCACAGGTCAAAGTATGTATAACTTTTATATGTTTTTGTTGGTGGGGTTTGCAGTATTATTAAGTTTTTGTTTTGTACTCCAAGACTACTAAGTATAGACGAGGGCCAGACAAGAAACACCGGAGGGCAAGACCATTTTAGCAATTAAGGCATTCTAAAATCCAGCAACCCAAGCGACATTTCAAAACCAATTGTCGTACCGTTAGTAGTCAAGAGGTAGTGTAATTAAGATTAATAATACTTTTATTAAAACGTAGTTGCTATAGTTGTATTCCTCTTTCGAGGACACGAGTTCCCTATAACAAATTTAGCTCTGATACCAATATGTCACACCCCCAGTCGAGGCGGCGGAACAAGCCAGGCTGTCCGATGAATTTCATGGATCACAGGCAAATTAAATATATAGCACAAGTACAACAATAAACAAAATAGTGTTTACATTCCATCTTGATTCTTGAATAGAAGGTTTTTACAGATAATAATAATAATACATGAATTGCCTAAACTGCTGCATGTAAACTTGGTCACCTGTAATCAAATGTGTCTTCAATGTCTGTTTAGTACTTTCCTGAGAATACATGTAATTTTGAAAGTCAGCATAATGTTGGTGAGTGTCACAGCTTTTGTGCTAACACAGTAATACTTTTAATTAGTCTAAAAAGTATTATCGTTGTATTTATAACGATAGTTAAAAACAGTGTTTGCAATGAGTCTTTTAAAAACCCAAAATGTATTTCTGTATATGTAAATCCACACTGTAACTTTGTTTGTAATAAATCATTGAAAGCCAAAATATATTTGTTGTATAAGAAAATCCATACTTTAAACTGTGTTCGTAATAAACCTTTGAATATTCTTTAAAACCAAACCGTTATGTTACATAAGTAATTCCATACTTAAAAATAGATTTGAAATAGTTTTTGCAATGAGTCTTTTAAAAACCCAAAATATATTTCTCTATAAGTAAATCCATATTGTAATTGTGTTTATAATAAATATTTGAAAGCCAAAATGTTTCTGTTGTGTAAGAAAATCCATACTTTAAACTATGTTCGTAATAAACCTTTGAATATTCTTGAAAACTAAACCCTTATGTTACATAAGTAATTCCATACTTAAAAATAGCTTTGAAAGCAACAAGCCCATGGTCGTTAGTGAGAGAGAGAGAGATTCCTAGTTAATGTTTTTAGTGAGTCCTATAACCGACCCCTACAACGCTTCGTTGGACGTTGCAGTAATGAATGTAGACACTTATCAACCGTTTCGATTGATCAGTCGAGGGTTGTAGCTAGCAACCGCAGGTGGGTATGTCAACCCCATATAGACTTATACATATGTATCTCGCTCCGAAGATTAATGGTTACAGTAGTGTGGGTATGTTAAGCGTTTAAACTCAGCTAATGAAAAATGTCTCACTAAAACCCCTTAACTAAAAAGTTTGTGAATAACTCTCAGTCGTAACTTACTCTTGGGCAAGTCACTAGGCATAATGAATATTGTTGTATAAGGTTTATAAAAGTCGAGTATGTTTGACATATATGTAAAAGTGTAATGTACTCGCTTTTATAAAAATGAATGTTTCAAATTAACGAACGTATGTACATGTATAAACTTGGTGTACTTTGTATCGTGTAGCATTTGTTGTATGAAATGGTTATTTCAGGATAAAATAACCATAATACGTAAACGGAAAATTTATACTAGTTTATTCGTAAAAATACGGAAAATTGCTAAATAATAATATTTTTATAAACTAGGTTTATTATATTTTCGAATAAAAATGTAATTGGTTTGTATAAACAAAATACATTGACACATATATTCCCCCTGAAATAATTAAAATATTAAAAAGAGGCCGTAAACGCTCACCTTTAAAGCGTGAATTCGATTTGAACGGTGTTCGGATTTCTTTGAAATACTTGTGTGATTTGTTACGTGACATTCCTCGTTCTTAAGACGAACCACCGAGTATATTTGTATTCCCTAATAAAGCAAAGGGGGTATTTCCTAAATGAATAAACTCTAAGGTTTGATTTTGCCAGAATCATACTTTAGGGACTGATATTGAGAATTATTCTGAAGACAGGGGTTAAACATTTGCATTTGAAACTGATTTGGGGTTTTTGGACTGATTTTGAAATAAGGTTTTAATAATGGGGGTAGTTTTTGATAAATTTAAATAAAAGCTTGAGTTGCCTTGACTTTTGACTGGGTCAACTCGGAGCCCGTTTTCTTTTGGTGTTGGAGCCCCATATCCGATCTAGATGACCCACTTAAAAGGAGATTAGGGTTAAATCTCATCCCGTCATTTGTTGAACGTGCAAGCGAAGAATACGAGAACGATAATCATTGACGCGATGGCGACCGAAGGGATTCACGGAATTCGCACGCGGCATTCACCAATCGGATGGCGAGGGGAGGTCGTCATCTCCGGTGTTGGACGGGCAGAAGGGAAGAAGCAACGGAATTGCTCTTGTCTCGGTGGATGTAGCGAGGGGCTGATGAAGCAGCCTCTCGACTGTTTGCTTCGTTTCCGGTAGCGAGGGGCGAACAGGGGAAAATCCGATGGTGTATGCGAAGGGAAAAGAGGTCCGGAGTGGTCTTGAAGGCGTCGTGAGCAGCAGCAGCAACGATGACCGGAGGCGATTTAATTCCTTAAGCAGCGTTTATCTTTTTTCCCTATTCTCATCGTCGAGACCTCCAGTGGTTCTCTCGGTTCCAGAACCACGAGCTGGTGATCGGATTTAATGGTGGAAGCAGAAGCCAAGTGGCAGCAGTGACGACAAAGAGCTTGTTCTGTGCTTCGGTGGTGCACGCACATAAGTAAGCAACAGCAGGGGTGTTTTGGTTGGTCGCTGGCAGCTAAGACACAGGTTCCCCTTTTTCTTTTTCTTTTATTGTTTGATAGAAAACATTGGAGTGTATGAATGCTTGGTTTTTGATAGAAAGAAATGGAGGATAAAATAGATGATTGGGTTGATTGTTTGATAGGGAAGGAATGAAACACAAATGTCTTCCGGTTTGCAGGTATACACGAAGGAAGTAGAACAGATGAATGCTTTAAATAGGAGATGTTTGTGAGCTGGTTCTCTGTATCATTTGTTGATTTTCACAGCTACCATTGTGGAGTTTATAAGGTTATGGCTTTGAGTGTGTGTGTGTGTGTTTGGCTTCACTTTTTTTTTTTTTTTTTTTTTTTCATGATGACAGATAGAAATCGATGGGGGAAAGGAAAAGAAGCACAACAAAATGAGGATGTTCTTCTTAGGAATCAAGACTAAAGAGGTATAGTTTTTGTGAATCAAACATTGAATCAAGACTAAAGAGGTATAGTTTTTGTGAATCAAACATTGATTGATTGTTAAAGAGCTCAGTTGTTAATTTATCATTGTGGTTGAGTGTAGGGTTCGTTGACAGGGGACAACGAAGAAAAGGGAAAGAGTGCAGCATTGCCGAAGGAGAAGATAGGGGATAGCAGCGGAGTTAGGTGTTTGAGTTATTAGTGCAAAAAGTCTTCAAATTATCCAGCTGTATTTGAGTGTTGTCTAATCATCCCCATTATTTGAGGAAGGAAAGGGAAAACCGTATTAAAACCCAACATATTTTCATCAAAGTTTTAAAAAAACCAATATATATATTTTTTGTACGTTAAAACTCATATATATTTTAAAATGTATGTTAAAACCCTTATTTTTTTTTAAATGTATCATTTAAGGCATTGAGCTTGGTAAATCATAAATAGTTAAAAATGTTATATAATCGATTCACAAGCTTTTGATTGTACAACTCATTAGATTAAAAAATTTTAAAAAGATATGAGGGTTTAAATGCACTACAAAAAATTATATAATAGGTTTTTTATTCCTTTCATAAAAATAGATTAAGTTTTTCTAAGCGTAGAAAACCTTAAATAAGTATTTCAGAAAATATAAGGGGTTTTGTGGACTAAAAATAATATAGTGTTTTTTTTAAAGCATTTGATGAAAATACATTGGGTTTTTATGAAGTTTTCCCGGAAGGAAAATCTATTTTTGAGTGTTTAGTAGATGAGAAGGACAACATAGAAAGCCAAGTCTAGCTATCTTTATTTTTATTTATTTATTTATTTATTTATATTTGGCAGATCAAATAGATGTATTTGTGTATGTATTTACATAATGTATTTGTTTCAATATCTGTGTAATGTGTGCGTATTTGATTTAATTGAGTGTGCGTGGTTGGTGTTTTCCATACATACTCTAAAAACTTTATAGTGTGTGTGTGTGTGTGTGTATATATATATATGTATTAAACTTTATGAATTTATTAAACTTTGGTTTGTTAAATAAAAACTACACGCAAAAACGATGTACAATTATGAAAATTTAACCAACCACATGAAATTGATCGTGACACGCGTCAATACCTGAATATATATATATATATATATATATATATATATATATATATATATATATATATATATATATATATATATATATATATACATGTAGTCGTTCATGAAATTATTGAGCGTTGGGCTTTTGTATCTTATAATAGTTAAAATAATTCATTTATTTTATGTTAGATTCACTAAACTCAATGAATAAAATTACCAAGAAATTTACTGTGACTTGATCGTTCATAGTCTTTAACCTAAATTTCGGGATGTCACATTTCCTCCCCGTTAATGTGATAGCTATTGTTATATGAAAACTCAAACCGCGACAAGTGAGCATCCCATTCATTAATGAAGTCTATCATACTAGCATGAAGCATGTATTCCGAAGTATGTATCTTTCTTTTGCTTTAGTCATCCTTCTGTGGATGATATGCAGTACTCACGTCGAGTTTGGTTCCTAGGAACCTCTGTAAAGATTCCCAAAATATGGAAGTGAACCTGCTCTCTCGGTCCGAGATATTAGTTATTGGCACACAATGTAGTCTGACTATATCCTTGAGATAGGTCCTGGTGAGTTTCTGTATGCTGTCAATTTCTTGATGGCTAGGAAATGAACAGACTTGGTTAAATAATCAACCATTACTCAAATGGCATCATAACCGCTTGAAGTTCTTAGCAACTTCATTATGAAGTCTTGGGTCATTTGTTCCAACTTTTGTTCTTCGATTGGCGGTTGTTGGGGTAATCCAAATGGTCTTGCTTGTTCTTTCCTGGTTAAAGCGTCTAATATGACATTTGCTTTACCAGGATGATAACGATTTTCACTACGTAATCATCTAGAAGCCCGACGCACCTTCGGGGTCTCATATTGAGCTCTTTCTAGTCGAAGATGTGTTAGGGGGGGTTGTGGTCGGTGAACACGACACACTTCGTTCCGTAGGGGTAGCGTCTCTAAATCTTTAAGGGAGGCACTACATCTCCTAACTCTAAGTCGTGGGTATTATAGTTGGTCTTGTTTATCTTGATTCATATGCAATGACTTTGTTTCTTTGCATCAGTATGCATCCAACCCTTGGTGAGAGGTGTCGTAGGATACTGCAAATTCTTTTCCTTATGGAAGAGACAAAATTGGTGCACTGCACAACAATTGTTTCAATTTAACGAAGGTAGACTCTTGCCTATCTCCCTAATCGAACTTTTTGTCTTTCTAGCTTAGTGCGGTGAGAGGCTTGTTGTTTTTGAGAAATTCTCGACAAATATCCTATAATACTCTACAAGCCCTATGAATTGGTGTACTTTGTTTGGTGTCGTTAGTCAGTTCAGATGACATAACCAGAAAGTTGGAGTGACTGTACCGAGTCCTGAATGTCATATTTGGAATGTCTACTTATTGAACTCTAAGTTGATGACAGTTAGATCTTAGAACGATCTTTGAGTAGTAATAGGGCCCTTATAGTTGGTCGAACAGGTCATCGATCCTCGAGAGTGGATATTGGTTCTTGATGGAGATTTTGTTCATATCTCGATAGTCGATGCATTTCCTGAACGATCAATCATTCTTTTTGACAAACGATACCGAAGCTCTTCATGGAGAGAATCTTGGTCGAATAAAGCCTTTTTCAAGAAATTCTTGAAGTTGACAGGATAGTTCTTGCATTTTCGATGGAGCCAGACAAGGAAATCTTTCCATTGGTGTTGTACGCAGGACTGTGTCGATTCGGAATTCGAACTGTTTGACTGGAAGTACTCCAGGTATATCCTCTAGAAATATACCCAGGTAATTACACACCTGCGGTATATCTTTGATTTCCTTACCTTTGTCTTACATATCCACCACGTGGGCCAAGAAAGCGAAGCATCTGTTCTGCAAAACACCTTTCTTGCCTTCATGCAACAGATAGTTGTTAGATTCTTTGCTGATTTGCCTCTATAAATCATGAGAGTTTTTTATTGTTTTGTAAAGGTAGTCAAACTGATTTTTCGTAACATAGATCTCTGCTCGATGAAGTGATAACCAGTCCATTCCATTGAACACATTCAAACTTCCTATGATCATATGTATTAGGTTGACGTGAAAAACATGGGTATTCACAGCCTTTCTGCGAAACTTAGAGGTGTGACCTCTTAAGTTATAGATGTTGCAGACCATGCAATTTCTGAAACAGTGGGAATTGCACTTGGTATAGTGGGATAAAATTCTAGAGTAGGGATTTGATTGAGTAGGAGTATTTGTGATTACAGCCTACACAACCATAGGTTTTTGGATTAGGTTTGCGATGTCTGAAGTTCCTTTTTGACTTGTTATGGAACTTCCTTTTTGTACTCCTAGCCTGGTTCTTTTCAGTTTGTGGGGGTCATGGTACCTTGACAGATACGATGTTTCAACAATTTATAGGTCAATTTCTTAGCACTGTCAAAGGTTTTGGGTCCAGATGCTGTAACTAAACCTTGAACTAGTGAAGAAAATCCGTAGATGTACCTTTCGCTATTTTTGTATTCCGAGTTCACCATTCCTAGGTAACCGTTTGCCAGATCGTTTTTGGGAGGTATAAGCAGTCGCATGGTAGGGTTCCAATTTATAGAGAGTGGTCGATTCTAGAAATCCTTCAGATTTGTAAATTATAGAGATATGGTTGAAAGCCTGCCCATTTCAAATGATATACAAAGAATTTTGGAGACTACTGAATGATCAGTTGGGAGCTATGGGTTTCTTTGACACGACGGTATCGATTCTTTGTTCTTCATTAGGTTTAGAAAAACTAGGAAAGTCTGAATGTTATTCTAGATTTTTAAGTGTATTTTAAAATATATACGTTGTTTGGGGGTTGATATAAGGTTTCTAAATTACTAGGTTTCAGAGCGAATCTTGATAACATCCTTCAATCTCTAAAACTTTCAACCATTGTAGTATGTCAAACTCCTTGCTCAAGGTTTGTTGGTCACCGGCCCGACCATAAATAACATATACGTACGTTCCAAGTTTATTTATGGTATGACTTTTGTACGATACTAACCTTAATTGAGGCGTTTGACCTAAAGGGTTGAGTTGGTGGTTTTAGTTGGAGGCATGTTAGAGTTTTAGTATGTATTCTCATCGCGGGTGAGAGTAAATCTAACTGTTATATGTTATTGTTGGTGGGGTTTGCAGTATTATTAAGTTTTTTTTTTTGTACTCAAAGACTTCCAAGTACAAATGAGGGCCAGACAGGAAAGACAGGAAACACTGGAGGGTAGGACCATTTTAGCAATTAAGCCATTCTAAAATCCAACAACCCAAGCGACATTTCAAACCAAAATTCCCTATGTAGTTATTACTCAAGAAGTAATGTAATTAAAATTAATAATACTTTTATTAGAAGGCAGTTGCTATAGTTGTATTCCTCTTTCGAGGACACGAGTTCTCTATAGCCAATTTAGCTCTGATACCAATATTTCACACCCCGGTAAAGGCGGTGGAACACGTTGGGCTATGCGATTATGTGACAACCATCAAAACTCAGGTTAGGGCTCATCTAGAACATTTTCATTTCCATGCATGCACGTAACTTGCCTTTAGTAGCAACAAGTTGAGATAGATCACGACTTAATAGATGCCTCGGAACAAGTAGTGTAACTTAGCTTGTTTTAAGTAGTCACATTAATATGTGAATACTCCAACTAGGTTGTAAACTGGCAAAATTCAATCACAAAACTAAACATGAAACCATGTTCAGTAGATCCCGACTCAAGGGTAAGTTAAATACCCTAAATTATTAATCGGAACATATGATATGCTTAACTAGTTTAAGTACTTATCATAATCAATTTAATTAAATCATGATTTGATTTAATTGATAGTTGGAAATGATATCCAAATATCATAATTGGAATTATGAGCCAAAAGTATAATTCAAGGATTCTCCAATCCTACAACCACATATTATGAACCTTTGTTGCAATTGTTGAAATATGTGAAATTGATTTTATAAAAACTAAATCATAGGTTATCTTTTTTCTAAATTAATTCAAGAAATATAAGTTTACAACTTATTTCCAAATGTAAATATTTCAATAAAAACCAATGAATAAAACCCTACGAAATTATGATTATATTTGAGTTTTTATAAAATTTAAAGCCTAGAT